CAAAGTGATTTTTAGTATGATGCAAGTTTTGCGAGAGATGTACATTTTATGGCTCGTCGCGGACTATTGATGAGCTAGCTACTTGGATGGTATTGCCAAAAGGCACGCCGCAACACACAAGCATCTCGTGCATTTCAGTTATGGAAATTCTAGAGCGTGACATGTCGAATTTTGTATGAAACACATTCCAAGATTGGCTTTTTTATGTTTCCATAAAATTTGAAGAGAAGGCACACAAGTAAAAGTCAATTTTAGTAGAATACATGTTCTACAGAAGATGTCGTGACCTATTGAATTTCGTAGAAAACACATTTCGGTGTTTGGTTTCTTCGATGATCCATAAGATTTTAAGAGGGTGAAGGCACACAAAATAAACTGAATTTTAGTACAATGCAAGTTCGGCAGAAGATGGCGTGACGTATTGAAATTCATAGGTAGCATGTTCTGGAGTTTGGTTTCTTCGACGATCCATAAGATTTAAAGATGGTTAAGGCACGCAAAATAAAGTGAATTTTAGTACGATGAAATTTTGCAGGAGATGTACATTTTTTGGCTGGTCGCGGACTATTGAAGGGCTAGCTACTTGGATGGTTTGCCAAAAGGTACAAGGCAACACACAAGCATATCATGCATTTCAGTTATGGAAAATTCTAGTGTGTGACCTGTTGTATTCCGTAGAAAACACGTTTTGAGATATATTGTGTACGTGTCCATAAGATTTGAAGAGGGTGAAGGAACACATAAAAAGGGTGAATTTTAGTAGAATGCAAGTTCGGCAAAAGATGTCATGACGTATTGAACTTCGTAGGCATTATGTTCTGGAGTTTGGTTTCTTGGATGATCCATAAGATTTGAAGATGATGAACGCACACAAAATAAAGTGAATTTAGTACGATGCAAGTTTTGTAGGAGATGTACATTTTGTGGCTCGTTGCGTACTATTGATGGATGAACTACCTGGATGGTATTGCCAAAAGGCACAAGGCAACACACAAACATATCGTGCATTTCAGCTATGGAAAATTCTACAGTATGACCTGTTGAATTCCGTAGAGAACATGTTTTGAGATAATTTTTTATGTGCCATAAAATTTGAATAGGGTGAAGGCACACAAAATAAAATTCAATTTTAGTAGAATGCAAGTTTGGCAGACAATGTCGTGACATATTGAACTTCAGCAAAATGTTCTAGAGTTTGGTTTCTTCCATGATCCATAATATTTGAGGATGTTGAAGGCACACAAAAAAAGTGAATTTTAGTATGATGCAAGTTTTGCAGGAGATGTACATTTTGTGGCTCGTCGCGGGCTATTGACAGGCTAGCTACTTGGATGGTATTGCCAAAAGGCACAAGGCAACACACAAGCATATCAAGCATTTCAGTTATGGAAAATTCTAGAGTGTGACATGTTGAATTCCGTAGAAAACATGTTTCGAGATTGTTTTTTTTATGTGCCCATACAAATTGAAGTGGGTGAAGGCACGCAAAAGAAAAGTCAATTTTAGTAGAATGCAAGTTCTGCAGAAGATGTCTTGACCTATAGAATTTTGTAGAGAATACATTTTGTAGTTTGGTTTCTCCGATGATCCATAAGATTTGAAGAGGGTGAGAGAACGCAAAATAAAATGAATTCAGTAGAATGCAAGTTCTACAGAAGATGTCATGACCTATTAAATTTTGTAGAAAACACGTTCTAGAGTTTGGTATCTTCTATGATCCATGAGATATGAAGATGGTGCGATGCAAGGTTTGCATGAGCTGTACATTTTGTGGCTTGTCGCGGACTATTGACGGACTATCTACTTGGATGTTACTGCCAAAAGGAAGACGATGGTGCATTTAGATGTGGGAAAATTGTATTCCCTTCGTTCATTTTTATAAGTCGTTTCACAAGTGAAATTGAGTTGGTTTGCACACTGTCTAAAACATCTACAAAGCCTTATAAAAGTTAATAGAGGGAGTAGAAATAATACCGTGTCGGCGCGCTCATAGCTCTTCACCGTACAATGTACAAGGGGCCAACGTATTATAAAATTTAGGAAACATGTTCCGGATATTTTTCTTCTTCGATGCTCCATAAATTTTAAAGATGTTGAAAGCACACAATATAATGTGAATTTTTCGTGGGTTCATACATTTTTAAGTGTTGTACTCCTTCCGTGGTTTAAATTTTTTTCCGAACCTGATGTATGTAGACACGTTTTAGTGTGTTTGTTCACTAATTTTTTGGTTTGTATGTAGTTCCTACCAAAATATTCAAAACATCTTATAACATCGTGACATATTAGTTTACAAAGGGAGTACTTGTGAACTGAGGAAGTAGTCCATAGATCTACATAGTGCATTTTTTGGTTCTATATATCTTTGTACCAACCCATGGGCCCGCATGTCACTGCTATGACGATGATGAGCAGATCACCGACTCTTCTTCACTCTCGTGCGTGGCCACAACATTTTCAGCATACCGTTTTCAGGCCCACGCACGGGGCTTCAACCTCCGCCTCACATGGTGGCACGTGTGGAGCTCCTATTCGCTCAAGTCAACCACGGCGCACTCCACCCGCCGATACTCTCCTTCCGAGAGCACGTTTCTGTGAGACCCGAACATTCTTCTCAAAAATCCTGAAATTTCTGCGCCTTCAATTCAGTCTCCCGTGGCCGGCTACGTGTGTACCGGTATCTTCGAAATCTCGCCCGCCTCGAGGAGCGGGCATGTGCCGGTAGCATCTTTCGAACGTGCGATGGTTTGTACGCACCGGCAAAGTCCTGTGGCCATAACGAGCAAACCGTACGCAGACATATATCTCCCGGATGGAGATCCGCCGACGTAGGTGGGCATCCGGAACGGGACAGCCGACCGGTCACGCCTCCGCGGCCGCTCATGCGTGCGTCGGGGGAGGGGGCGATGGGTCGTGGCGGCACGGCGAGACGGACGCCTGTGAGCCGCGCGCGTGGCGTGCGTGCGTGCGTGCGGCGCGGGCGTTGCCGGACCCCGGCCGGCGGGGACAGGGAACTGACCGGCCCGACCGCGACCTGCGTCGTCGTCTCCTGCCAATATGATATCGTCGGAGTAGTATTGGGCCTACTATTGTATATCCGCACGAGGGTGGAGCTGCTCGGCGACGGCGACCTCGGGCGGTGTGGCCGTACGCTGACGAGCAGCACTGGTCGCCGTCCGCTCCGTTGCATCAAAAGAGTTTGGTGAAGTTTGACGCGCACAAGCGCTACCTCCTATGGTATGGCTTATTGATTATGGCCTTTGTGCCTCGCCTTGGGAAAGTTGGAAAACACAACGAAAACGTCTTCTTCCATTGAAGATACATCGTCTCAAGGCCTGAAATAAGTACTGAAAAATATGAGTATTGGTGTTAAGTGATGGGCTGATGATATTGCTGTCCTTCTAACTATTCCTCCTAACTATACAACCACAGATTGGTTTGCTTCACAGCCTTAGTTATAAGATAAAATTATTGCTCCAACTGAGCATCACATTCACATCAGCTTTTTATACACCTTAACATGTAGCCGAACCCCGCAAAAAAAAACGCGTACAAGGGGGCAAAGTAGTTTTATTTTTTTTTCATACAAGGAGGAGTCAAAAAATATCATTTTCTGAATTTTACCCCCCCCCCCAAAAAAAAAAACTTTTTCGAATGCAGCGATGTAACACATTTCGCCAAAATTAAAAGTGGTGGAATCGAACTCACGACCGACCGAATGGAAATTTCGAATGCAATTATTTTGTAAAACATTCGTTGATCAATTGCCGGTCATCAAGAATATACTGGCTTCGTAAGAATTGGGTGCGAGACGGAAATTTAAGTTCATCCAAATGTTTATATTATGTTTGGCAAAAAGTGCAGTTTGAGGACCAAGTAGGCATCATGGTGATTCTTCAGGTGGTCACGGACAATTTCGAGGGCAAATGTTTGAGACTCTCAATTCTCGAGGGACACATGAAAGATGGCAAACTTCAATCTACAAAAGACAAATTCCTGAAGCAATTAGTGAATTGGATGAAGAAGTATCTTTCTAGAGCGATTGAGGAGAGTTTGATTAAATCTGTCATTTAGGCCTTGCCAACTTATGTGATAGGGACTTTTAGATTTCCCGCTGCTTTATGCGACGACTTGTCTCATTTGATTAGGGACTACTAGTGGGGGAGAAGGAGAAAAGCACAAAAGGTACTCATGGGGAAAAAACTATCAAGCCAAAAGGGCATGGAGGCATGGGTTTTCGTGACTCACATTTATTAATGTGGCTCTTTTGGCAATACAGGCTTGACACCTCCTAGTGAATCCCATACCTTTTTATGCTAGACTACTAAGAGATAATATTATCCTAATGATCATTTATTGGACAATCCTTTTCCTCTATTTTTTTCACTGTTGTGGCAAGTAAATCATGCATGGTTTGGAATTATTGAAAAAAGAGTCATGTGGAGAGTGTATGTGGAAAGAATGTCAATATTTGCTGAACAATTGGCTGCCAAGAAAGTCTGGACTAAAAAATTCTAGCAAGAGAGATAGATGAAGGATTAAGTGGGTGTAACATGTTCCTCTCCGGGACAAAGAGTTGGGATGAGGATATGGTTAGACATATTTTTTACCCTCGTGATGCTATACCTATAAGAGTCTTTGTGAGTGTATGCAAATGGTGGAATTCTTCATATTATTTTTGGAGGCTTTTTACCAAGGGGTAAAATGGGGAACTGGGGGGAGGTATTTTTGGTGGATGCGGATTGAGGAATGTCATAACAAGATTTATATATGGTGGAGGTCTTGGCATTCTTCAAACATCATGACTAGCAGAGAAAAAGATTCCTAGCTAAAAGCATAAATCCAGGGGAAATGATAATTAGGGAAAATAAAAAATGGGTGTATCACATAATGATTTGAGAAATCTCTTATATTACATTAAAATACAGTTATTTCATCAATATAAGTACTGTCTTATATACAACAATTTCTACAGCAATAAGCTCAAGCAATTTGGCCATTTATGTTTTATTTACAATGCGTAAATGAACAAGCTTGTGCTGGTTGAGGCTAGATATTCTTATCTTATTGTCAATGTACCTGAAAGGAAATTCATAGGTGTCAGGACAAGAATTAATTATCAAATATGTCGAGCCAACAATGACCACCAACAAATTGGTCAGTCCATAACTCTTATCTTTTAAGTCAAAAAAGGGAAATGGGAGTCGAGTCTTACAAGATCTCCATGACAAATTCTCCTCCGGTTTCTAAAGGAAACTGTACGCCACCAACTTGAGTAACGCCTTCATTCATGGACACGCTGAAGGTATTGTTGTTCCCAGTTTTGCTGCAAGTTCAACACAACATACTTAGCACAAAAATATAAGTGTACCTTTTGTAGTAGTGTTGAAGTGGAGGTGTATAAATCAGGATCACAAGGGAACTCCAAGAGAGGAACAGAAAAAAATCTGTGTGACCCGAATTTTGATACATGTCCATAATGGATAGTAACAGACTGCTGTATGAAGCTTGTGCGGCAACAGCGTATTGATGTATGAAAGTAGTCATGAAGTGAGTCAATGTCCCGATGGTTTAAACATCTATTAAGTCATTTGTATGTACCATTCTTATAGTCTTTACGCAGCACATGTAACATCACCTCTCCTGCATGTGACCATGTGTACAGAATATTGTACTGTACAGTCAATGCATGTTCGCATTTCCTTCTGGCATTAAGGAAATATATTACCGTTTTATTTGATTTTGTCAACATATTAGTTTTAAGAGTTGTACATCACATGTACTGACGGAATGGAGTAAAGATACTCACACTATATTTGCTTCATTATCGTTGACGATTGAAACGATCCGAGAGAGGAAATACACATAAACATATATGCAGTTCTTCAAACTTACCATATGTTGCCTCTTGCACTGAGGCTGACACCTGGAAAGGGGTTCACCAAATTCTTCAGTTGCCCATCTTCCTTTATGGTCTGAATGAATAGTTGATTCGCGTCAAGTACCAAGAAACACACGAGAGTATCATATCATCTTTTTCCTCGGCTTTTCTGAAGTTCTGTAGCTTACCTGGAAATCCTTGAGACCGGCAGATGCAACAGATGACCAGCTTCCACCTCCACTCTCACTCTGCACATACAACTAAATATATGAAAGGGAAAACACATCCTACAAGCAGTGGAAGTTACCCCTACCCCTCATATGCCATCTCTAAAGTATAGTATATATTCTCCTGTATCATTTTGAAAATACTTAATTACTTATGCGATTACATGGAAAATTGCACGGGAGTCAGATAGTTTTGAACCCATTTTCTTAAAACCTTCGTATTTTTACACAGAAAAGAGTTAGTCTCTGAACCATTAGATTGCATTCAGGACAGCCAAAAAAATTGTGAATAACAGGAGTCATGACTACCAAGTCAGTTGCATTCGTCAAACATAAATATGCATTAGCTCTCAGGCCCTTCAAAAAATACAGAAAAGCATCCACCTTCTTTGACTCTAGCGAGAATCATAACTTCAATCTCGGTCTGATACCCGTACAATTTTTTATGTTCTTTTATAAGGGTGGCTGGGAAGAACCCTAGTGTAAATAGATTTACACAGAAATCATAACAAACTGTACAATATGATTACTGGAAAAGAAGATAGAGAAAAATGATGTTACTCATAAGTGTCTGGGAGTGCTTTGTTATATTTTGATTTCCATAGTCAACTAATCAATCATAATAAAATCATGACCAACAAGAAATCAAGCTCTACAGAAAAGAAATGGCATGCATAGAAATCTCAAATCGCTGTTGTAATGCTTATGTAAAGGTTGACCTCTGAAGCCCATAACAGTTGCCATTCTCCCGCTAGGGTATTCATATCAACCACAACCCCTTTTCTGCTTGAAGTAAGATCATCTATAGCCTGGCCAACAAGCATATTGTACAAATGAATACCTCATGTTACTGCTATAACGGACGTCCAAGATATAATAACACACCTCTTTTACTCCGGTTCCTGCAGATATAGCTGACAACAACATTTGCCTTGGGTCTGCACTTTTCTGGAGAACAAATGTGGTTCCCTGCACTACATGTTGTTTTGGAAAGCTAATAAAATACAAGGAGGTCTGGAAAAACCGCATATTTTATGGAGAAGTGCTTTACATATACTCCACCATGGGTTCAACAAAACTGAGAGAATAATTATGCAATTCAAAACCCTAAATCCATGGCTGCAACGTTACATGCAGACAATGTATTACATACCTTGTTTCCCCTTGAAATGCGTATGTTCCCACTACGAGATAAGTATGTAGTGTCAAGCCAACCCTTTGCTTCATCCCCAAGAAGCCTGAATGGCACCGGATATGGAACCTTAAATGGCAAGAACTTGAAAGCGAATGCTGCTCGGTCAAAACGGAAGAGAATGCGCTTCCCATCGTTTATAGTCGCTTCTGCCTGATATTTTGTTTAACAAACCTCATTGCAAAATCATGTAGAACATCCTTAAAGCACTATAGATGTACCACTTAGCAGTAGCATAAGTAAGAGCATATATCCTCCTTGAATATAATCAACAGTTCCAGACTACTAGTTTAGGTATCCATATTTAAGGGAGCAGAAGCCATCTCTTCCCAACATTCTACATTTTTACTATGGCAATAGATCAATTAAACACTCAGTGAGTCTTCAACATTTCCAATAATAAAAAAATACATATTAATTCAGCAGTAATCTTCTATCCGCCAAGTCTTATGAAAGAACCACACTAAGAAAAATGAACGATATTTATGTGTTTGGCTCTACTACCGGCTTTGTAATGTACTAACGAGGACATGACCACCGTAGATAGAACCACTACTACCTCTACTTCCACTTGCTGGTCAAAAGAAGGTTCAAGCACAAGTTAAGACCAAGAATCTAAGTTCAAAAGAGGAATCAATGTCAAGACCAAGAAGAAAATGACGATCATGTCACTCAAGATGAAGACAGTGCATGAAGACAATGTGTTGCTTGGTGACTTATATTATAAAATGAAGCCTCTCCATGAAGGTAAAAAAGAATTCTTGGGCACAGAGTAATCCAGTTGTCAAAGTCTACTCCACCGAATCAATATCATGGTTTTCATCGAAAGATCAGGACACCCATAATGGTATCATGTATTATACAACGTGTTTCAGTATAGCGCTACCGTATCCCCTCCGGTCTATCCTAAAACACTGTTATTAGCAAAAAAATCAGATGATCAAGTGAATTTATATTTATTAATTTTGTTGTTTAGCTCCTGATAATATTGGTCCTCATATTAATTCCAGCGTTGTATTTACTCTGTGCAGGAAATACCCATGCACTTCCCTCTAGCATGACATTGAAGCTTACTTTACATATATTATTATATAATTCTTCTACAACCCGATGAGTTTCTATATAGAACCAGACTCTGGAAGACACAATTAGACACTGAGGGCAGCAATAAATGAAGCAGCAGAATTTGGGGCAAGACTATCACGAGCATATTTATGGTTGAATAGGAAACATCAAAATACACAAAGCTTCCCTATACATTTGAAGCTAAGGCGACATTGAGTTATCGACAGAGCAGTTACCTGTACTGCCAGTTCACCAACTGTTTCTGAAAACTTGACAACGTTGACCACCCTTGGATCATCTGTTCTAAGGTAAACTTCCTGAAAGACGCTGAAAGAGTCAACTCCAACGAATGTCCTCTGCATCAAATGTGAATTGAGAACAAATTTAGTCACTTTTACAGGTGTGAACAATCCAACAGCTGAATACGTAATGCATAGATAAAATGCAAAATGGAACATATAGTTGCTCACATGAGCATGCTAGTTTTATTCTACCTGAATGGGGGATGCCGTCCCTGGTCTTGTAGTGAATATGAGCTTCCAACTACCTTCAATTAAACTTGAAGAGGTCTGCATATAAACCATAAATGCTAAGCAGCAACCTTTGTTTTCTAATATATTTTTCTAGAAAATTTACAGCAGTCAAATACATGCATGCTAATGGAGGTATTCATTGTTTGTAGTTTCTCTAATAGTCACCTCGATAAATGCTAAGAACAATGTAATACTTCATTCACCATACTTCATCTTCGGTTATAGATGCATTTCAGTTCTTGACACACTGGATGAATGAATTTGTTTCCTTGGTAACCATGCTACAGTCAAAAGTGACAAGTAAACTTAAACGGAGGAAGAACATCTTCTGAACTGGTACAATTAATTAGTTAAACATGATTGGATCATTTGATTTTATTTTTTCTAGAATAATGAAAATTGTTGATGGCAATTCACTTCATGGCACAATATGCATATCTTCAGTTGTGCCCATTTAAAGATCAAAGTATTTCGAGACAAATATGCACATGCTGCCGACAAATGATGGTTATTTTTTGTCCTTTTTTGTAAAACACAAATATACACTTCCATGAGTTCATCAGGTAACTCAATACCTACCTTCAAGCACAAATCATACAGAAAAAAAGCACAAGGCCACCTACCGGATCGGGCACACCTTCCAGCGCCTCCAGAGTCTGCACTGCGCTTTCCACCTCCTGCACATGCGGATCACCACGCTTGCATCAGTAACACTAACATTTCAACAAGCACATGGCGCGCGGCTGCGCAGAACACGCGTGTGCTCAAGTCTCAAAGGCAAGTGGGCTGGCTCCTTGCCTGGAGCTGGCGCGGCGCGACTGCACGGCCACGGCCCTGTACGCCGACGAGGGCCTCCAGCAGCGCCTCCTCCGGCTCAGTGTACGACACCTCCCCGGCCGCCACCGCGAGCAGCGGGGCTCCGCGGCGCCAAAGGCGAGGCCGTCTCCGCGAGCGCCGCCCGTAGGAGGTGCTGGAGAGAGGGGGAGAGGGGGAAGAAGGCGGCGCGTAAGAAGGAGGGAGCTTGAGGAGGCCTGTAGGCGCTGCTAATGCGGCGGCCATGGCGCCCGGTAGAAGAAGAACGGGGGCGCGTCGTTTGTTTGTGGCTTGCGTTCGCGCCTCCCGGGTGTAGTGCGCCGGTGTTGGATGGGCAATCGATCTGCTGGACCAGCAGTTGGGCGCCACGTGGACGGGATGGCTGCCACGGCCGTTATTTACACGGACGCTGCTCTACCTTCTCCGTGTACATGCTCCCATCGGTACTCTCCACCGCTCAATTTTCATCCAACGCTTGTGTGAGTCCTTCAGTACATCACTTTTTCCTCCTTGAAAAGGACAACTCTTAACACTTAACTAAAAAGAAAACATGAAAAAAAAGCGAAATTTTCAAGCGTGGTGGAGAAGGGTTTTCGGGAAATTTTCATACGCAATGGAGAGATGAGTTTTGGCTTACTATGTTTGCACACAAACAGTCTCACATGCCGGTGATATAATAAGCCGACGACGTTGCTGCCTTCGATGAGCGACACAACGGAGGCAACATTGGTTTCTAGTGTGACATGCCGGACCAACCATACGTGTGAGGGAGGCGAACATAATATTTACTTCAGTTTTATTGGTTGGCTAACCATGCCATATTTTTGTCAGTTGAGTGTAATTAATGATAAGATGCAGCTCTCGGGCGATTGCTCGGATTGGATCGACACATCAACAACTATCGAAAATGTAACATGTGGTTTTCCACGTCCACATGATCGATAAAAATTCCAATTATGAAGGTGTTGCCTTTTCTACCCTCACCCCCTCTCGCCCTTAACTGTCGTCATCTTTGTCGTATACTCTTGAAACCACCTTACTCCTCTCCAAATCATCACCCTAATCATTGCTTGACTTCCTTCCCCACTAATGTTGACTATATCACGATGACGGTCATTGGTGTAGTTTGTACGACAACGTGCATCATAGAGATGGGCGGTGATTTTGTTCGGAAGTGATACCTAGAAGCCGAGTCCACTGCTTTCTTCACAACCTGGAAGGCCATAGGCGACAACAACCAACGTTTCATCTTGACCGTTGGATGTGATGTGAC